GCTTTGGGAGCGCACTGAATTGTTGATGGCCAACCACATCACAGGTAATTGCGAGCTGCGCCATTCGCTTGGCCAGTAGTCATTCTAACCCTTTGCCTATGCACGAGAGGATGACTATAGATCTCCAGCCTTTAATCATGGTTGGGTCCCTATTTGGATTTTCCGGTAGTACCACCTCCGCCAGTTTGAAGCACGAAGGATAAATGCCCAACCGTATACAGCCTCTAAAGAGCTGCGTAACACACGGTCCGATCTTCTTCCAGCAGGCCTCGAGGAGCTCAACCGTGATTCAGTCTGCCCCTGGTGCTGTCTTTCCACAGCCAATGGTACATGCTCGCACTTCCTCATCTGAGATTTCACCTTCCCAAGGTATCCGGTTATCGCTGGGGGTGTTGCATGGAGGAAGGTCGTCCGATTGTTGGTGACGTGCAAGAAGAGCGTCTCGGAGAATGGTAGCTCGCTCTAACGGATCCGTGATGAACTTTCCGTTGTGATTGAGTGGCGGAGGGGCTTTGGCCTATCTGTGGTTTATCGAACGCATCAGCTTGAAGATATCGGACGGTGATGTCATTGCTTCCACTTGGCTTGTCTGGTATTCTTTATTGGCGGCTGTGATGGTCGCTCGAAGCTTCCTTCCGCAAGTGGCCCGCTGTGTAAGTAACGTTGCAGCTCGGTATTCGGCGTGGACGGATTTGCACATAGGAGTCTACCACGGCGCAGATTTGTCGCTTTCTTTTCTGGCCTGGGTTCCTGTTGCTTTGATGGCCTCCGAGAGATGGAAGCAAATCTCTTGGGCGTACTCATCCACTTTCTTTTTTGTACTAAAATCCAACGGTGGATGTACCCATTTTGCAATGGCCCGCGCAAACTTTGGTAGATTTTCCCTGAGTACTCTGATCTTTGCTGGAACTGGGTCCCTGGTGACGGTTGCTGCAGATGCGATTCCGCGGATTGGAAGCTGGTCGCTGGTCATACACTCCTCACGATCGACCCAGGCCCGGGCTCCAGAAATATTGGTCCAAGCGAGGTCCAAGGAATTGCTGGCTCTGTGAATTGGCTCTTCAATGATGAGGCAAGAGAGGTGGAAGTTTTCCGCCCACTTTTCTATCTCGTCACCTTGTCCATACGGCTTAGTAGCGCCTGGTTGCCAGGCCGCGTGCACCGAGTTGAAGTACCCAGCTGCGATCGACCTCGGGGTCGGATTCCAGTTTATCGGTTGTCGGATAGCAGTCGGGTCGTTAGGGGCCTTATATACGATGAGGAATGTGATTCCATTGATCAGTACTCAGCAGGAGTCCCCGGTCAGCCTATCACAAGGGAAAATCTGCTCTGCCGATATCACCTTTTCTTTTTTCCAAGTGTAAGTCACCGCCCTCGGTCTGACATCCACACCTCCGTACGGTGTATGACTGAGGTGACTTGGGTGTGACTTGGGTGTGACTTGGTTTCCTTTATTTGCTTGTTCCAACAAGGTTCTTGAATCAACACAACATCTACGCCTAGCTCGTAAGCTCTAGAGAGCGCAATGTTGTGGATTGGGCCACCCCTGCCTACGTTTATTGACATAAAACTTAGTGTAGGAGAGGGGCGAGAAGGGGCCCGTAGGACGCCCTTCACAAAGCTTCTTCAGGGTTCAAGGCCCCAAAGCCCGAACCCTCAGTCATTGCTGTGTCTATCGATAGGTTGTCCTTAACAGCAGTAGAAGAAGTTGGTCTTGTCGATCTAGCGGTAGCCGTAGCAGCCTCTACGGCCTTGGAAGCAGCTTTAGCCCCAGCTACGGCTTGGTATTCACGTTGGCCAGCTTGGCGAATCGTCACAAGTTGCTCCTTAGTGGCTGGGCCAGTCCTATTGGGACGAGCAAGACAGTCTCGACTGCCGGATTGGTGAGGCCCTTCGTAGTTTCGACATTTAGCGGCTGCTTTACACTCGAATGCCGAGTGCATGGTGGATCCGCAGTTCCAGCAGGCTGGCGCGCGACAACACCCACGGGTGGCGTGGAAACTGAGACATCGCCTAAATTACTGTATGGGAGGGCGGTTTGGTTTGATGGTTACTATTCCTGAGTCGTCAAAGAGTCAGAAGCCAGGCTTTGGGCTAGCATTCTTGGGAAACAAGGCCGCCCAGGATCTGTAGGAAGCCCCGGGCTTGGTTTTTCCGTGTATCTTTACTCGTTCTGGAGTGCAGTTGGTTACCCGGAGAATTTCAGCAGCTACTATTTCGGCAGTGACTTCGATTTGTCCTTCCAAGCCGAACACGGCGACTGGAACCGTAGCGATCCGGAGGAAAAGTAGATCACTTGGCGGTTCTAGTTTTGCCTCCACATTTGTGAAGGTGCTGGAGGCCTCCAGCAGTCGAGTTTTTGCATCCGGGTTTTTAGCACGGATGGCAAAGTCCGTGGGAACACGTTGCACCTGGTCGGTATGAGAAGGGGTGCATTGCGTTTGTCTAGCCACGGCTTCGCGAAAGCCAGCCGGAGAGAGCTGTCTCCACTCGTGGTTTGCATTGAGACACAGGAAAAGTCGGTCATCTTGCGGTGCTGTTGCTGCTGCTTCCAGCTTCTTCTCTGGTTTCCTGGCAGATGAGGCTGCCGCAGCCGTGGTGATGTTTGCAGGGACCCGTGCTCCCGATATTTGGTGACCTACTCGGATAATAGTGGCCGAAATGCTTCTGGGTGAGATAGGTGCAGTAGCCTCTGCAATATTCCGGGGAATGGCTACTGGGATGATTGTCGTAGGCGCACGACTGGCGGAGTGGTGCTCGGCACGGCCGCCACGAATTGCGCGGTGGCTGCCCTTAGGTAGACTTTGATGGAGTCTACGAAAACTTTATTTTTACCGGTGGAGAGCAGGAAAAGGGCTGTCTCGACACTGCTAATCGCCGTCGAGCATATATTGAGTTGCGCGGCTTTTTGCCTTGCCCTGCGCTTCTCCGCTTCGATCGCTGCCAGCGATTGTGGGGGCTATATATTTTCTCTGCCTGTTACTTCTGGTGCTGGAGGCGGTGGGGCCAGCAAAGAGGTTTTGGCTCCTGTTGCCTTGGTTGAGCGTATGTCGGCCCTTTTCGCGGGCCTCACTTCTGTAAGTCGCGGCTGTGCTGGAACCGTAGTCTGCTTTTCATGTGTAGTGACGGTCTCTTTTGGGGTTACTGCGGGCTCTGGGGCTGTTTCCGCGTCTTCTGGGCTGGAGGAAGCCCAAATTGAATCAGCGAGAATTTTCAACTTCTCGATTTCTGCGTCCACCATGTCTACCACGGGATGTCTCTACGGTGTAGTTAAGGGTTTACAGAGTGAAGATATTTTACAGGGGTAATGTAAGTGTTATCTAAGATCGACATTACTTAATTGGTCTCGAGATGATGTCCAGGAAACATATCATGTTATCCTTAAGCCTGTAACGTCTTCATCTCTCAACACATTGCCTCACCAACATTATCATGAAGCTAACTACCATTAGATCAGATGGTAAGTCCGAAGCCCTTTTCATCACCAACCCTTGATCATGGAGGAGAAGCCATCTGATGAGCTTCCGGGGCGTACCAAGCACCCGATACGGCGATTGGATTGGATCAAGTCAGCCTCAAATGTTACAAAGAAGGGAGATATGGATGAATTTACGCACCTCATGTGGTCCCGGTGGCTAGGCGTTGCCTGGCTGGGGCTACAGATTTTTTGATATTTTTTCCTGCACAAACAGTTTCCATTGGCTCAATTTTTATTTTTTTGGGCAGAAGGTTCCGTGAAAAAAGTGGCCGAATTCCACGGGTAAACCCTGAGCTGAAAGGCTATTTATTACGGGCAATATAATAATGATCTTTCAAGGAATTGAAGAGGCAAGGAACATTGTATAAGGTGTGGCCTGGGCCATAGGAGCCCAATGTGCTAGATAGCCATAGACTCTAGTAGTACTTAAACACACGCACACTGGTAAAAAGCAATAGGCTCCGTAATTCCCAATTCGTCAACCTATGAGCGTAGAGATATTTGATCTCGCTCTCAGGTGCTAAAATCAAGTTGGGTGTGGATTTATTTTATTAGAGGTACTACGGTAATGAAAGTAGCAAGTCTCCATCCCTCGTCTAGAGATTCCAGATGTTTTTAGAACTGAGTTGCGGCGTGCAGGCTAACCAAGACAGGTCAGGGAACTGAAATACATTGTGAGAAACTGATTCAACGGTTCGCTTTCGCCGTAGCATCGAATTAATATTATTTACAAGGCTTCTCTTATTCAAGAGCAGCAATATGTTTTAGTACTGTGTTACTCTTTTATTTTTTATTATATTTAAATGATATGTCATTATCTATTAAGATGAATCATTCATCAATTCAAAGGCTTTTCGAGTCATCTTTAGGAAAGACGAATTAACCTGCGGGCATTCACGACTGAGAAAATTCCGCAAATTAACCATGTGCAAGATCAAATAGAGCCTTGTTGGCTAAGAAATTAACGTGTCAGTGGGGTCTCATCATGTTCGATACATGAAATATGGTTATGGCTCGGGTAAACCATATCTCATACCTGCCCGGCTCGCTTAATTTAAAGCTCGATATATATTCCTCTTCGAATCTGGCTATTTTGTTAATAATTTACCGAAGCATCATTTGTTACACCGGATGTATTATTAGATTTTACAAGTCCATTAAATTTTGTTCCCTTCACAGCATCGAAAATGATTGTTAAATTAATAAAAAATCGTAGCCACATATATCAGTATTCTTTTAACTCAAACTGATTGCAGAAGCGTTTAGATATCGGAAAAATCTCCAGTTATTGGTTCATGTGATGACTCCTTTTTTCAGGTATTTTGAGCGTTTTGTTCAGAATTAAATTCAATGTAACATTACTAGAAAGATTTTGGGCGACCTGATTTAGTCTTCCTATGAAAACTTGGGATGTGAGGATAAAGACACTCATCAGGTAATTCTAAGCTGCGTATATTTTTTAACGAAGTGCACGTCCATGTGAGGAAAGATATACAGTTATGATACATTTGGACAAGATTTATCATTTAATGTTCGGATTTTCAGATTCGCGCTTCTCTCCAAACCATTTTACTGATTTTTCGATGCCTTTCTCCAGACTTGTGGAAGGTTGATATCCTAGGAGTCGTTTGGCCTTAGTGCAGTCATAATACCTCGTCATACAACTGTATTTAACTTGTCTCTTCGTCAGCTTAGGTGTCCTTCCCAACGCCCACATACCCCATTCTAAAAGTGTGGCTAGGAACAGCCCGGTAGTTTGTCCGATAACCCAGACATGCTCTATACCACGATCGTTTCCGGCAACCTTCCAAACAGCTCGGGCAAAATCCCAAAAGTAAACTGGCTCGTCATTTGTGATCATAAAAGCCTCTCCATCAACTCGTTCATGGGATAGAGGAATGGTCGATAGGCGGGAAGTTGCGAGAAGTGCAGTGGCTGCTAGAATATGAGCTTCGGCCACATTTCCAACATACGTAAAATCAAAGAGGTTCGTATTATTGCCGAGCTGAAATCCAGTTTTTGAAGTATAGTAGGCGTCTAGCATGTTGGGAATTAACTGAACGTCACCTTCACCAAATATTCCAGCTGGGCGAAGTGCACATGTTAAGAGCAGACTGTGATCGACGGCACGATTTGCGGCAAGAACATAAGTTTCGGCTTCAGCCTACATATGATGGATTAGCAAGGTGTGTAAGCAGAAACGGATAAGTGGTACGACCGAGTACCTTAGTTACGGAGTAAAACTCAGTCTGAGCATTAGCGGGGATGATAGGCCACCGTTCGTCTGCGTTAATGAGGTCTGTAGCGTTATCCGAAATAATACTGGCTGAACTCGTGTATACCAAAGCAGTGACCCTTGTCTTTTGGCATGCTTCAATCACGCATTTTGTCCCTTCAATATTCACCCGTTGGTATAGCTGCCTCGAACCACCCGTTAAGGTTGGTGAGGCTGTGTGGATGACGATATCGGGCTTTGTCTCCTCAAATATAGGCAGGATAGAGTCAATTGATGTGATATCGCCTTTGAAATATCGTACGCCCGTCGTATCTGGAAGACGATTACGCGTAGTCTGAAGGTCGAGGATGGATATGGTGCAGTCATACGAGCTGTGCAGTTGTTGGACTAAATGGTGGCCGAGAAAGCCACAGCCACCGATTACGAGAACCCTCCCCAAAACCTTTTTCTCGGCTGTAGGCTCAAGACCCATGGATGCGAACTCCGTATGATGCAGTGCTTTAAGCTATCGACAGATAATTTTGAGGATTTAGTTGCCCCAGAAATCCTTAGTCATATAAAGGAGACAGGGTGGAAGAGGATATAGAATTGCGGAATGCTCTCTGTTTAAATTTGACCCAAAATCTGAAGCAAGGTGAGCTGGTAGATGGAGCCTTGTTGAAGCGATTATTACGTTTTGCTCTCCTCTGCAGTCGAGTATTCAAAACTATAAACAAAGTTTAAATTTATCTTACACCTCTTAACATTACTATCTCACTCTCTCGTGCTAGGGCAGGTCTCGCGCAGGAAACATGAATTACGTTGATGAGTAGACGTGGGTATGTGGGATCGATCGATTAATGTCTATTATATTCTAAATGATGCTAAAAACCCCTTTTTGTAGCCTGAGGCTCCTTAATATGGGGGTTTTTATTCGTATATTGTCCAGCCAAGTGCCCAGCTAGACGACGGACATGATCGCTGTCTGGAGAAGAGATACTGAAAACTTACTTGTGGAGTCCTCGACAAAAGTAGAAGTAGAATTTTATCTCAGATCTGAGTAGAACCAAGTATTGCATGCAGACAAAGGCAAATTCTTCACCCTCCGGCGGTGCCGGTTGTTATCGCTCAGTATTTTCTGCAAATGTGAAAGAATTCAGTTGGAAAATTAACAACAAAATCAACCTACCATCAGAAGTAGAAGGGAAAGTGGCAAGTGCCTTCTTTCAACTTAAAATTGGTCATGGCTGTAACAACTTTTATCTTACCGGCGAGGGTAAAGAAAATAGGACTGGTGTATATGTGGGTAGCGAGAAACACCTGAGCACCTTCTAATATGATGCAGCTACTATATGTATGAAAGAAAAGACCTCAAAAAGAACCTAAATAGGAACCAACCCACCCTTAAACTATTATTGAGCACAAAGATTGGGATCGAAAAAAACCCTGTATTATTTCAGGATAACAAATATATAAAAAGAGGTGGCATTTGGAGAGGGTGGAAATTGGAGAAACTGCATGAAAATATGCATAGGAAAAAAATTGAAGAAAAAAGAGGGACATGGAGAATATTAATTTAGGGCAAGACCCTCAGTGTCAATTTGAAAATATGGTGGTGTTCTCTGGTATGGTTTAAGTAGCCTAGGCACCTAATCCACTTGGGAAGGAGATACCTCAGTCCACATTCGCGCGGAGAAAAGTTCATGGATGATGGAGGCATGTCTGGATTACTCAGGGTTTTTGAGACGTTTCCCTGGGTAGATATTCACGGATGGGGGTTGACTTGGGGTGAAGAAAAAGCCACCATAACTTCGCAGTGGTACTTGCAAATAAAATCTGAGGCATGAGTGTTCTTTCTTTACGTTGAATTATCTACTCTGTACTTTTCTTTGATTTTGTGTCATAGCTAGATAGCTGCATTCGCCTTTAAAATATATTACAAAAAAAGAGAAATGACCTAGCATACACCATTTCACACCTACAATTTTTTCTGAGCCTTCGGAAAATCAACTTGGAGCAGCAAGGTGTATCCGCAGATATTTAAAGTGGACATTTGATCTGATATAACCTTACAATTTGGATCTTGCCTAGTTCTTAGTGATTTCAATGATATATTTCAGCTCATAGATGTAATACGCCATCTTTTTTTAGAAAAAAAAACCAGGGATAGCTCGGTTATGCTACTACATGTTCTGTCATCAAATAACTTTGCAGATATTTACACACAAGGCCTAACACTTCCAATACTTAACAAACTTTGTATCATGATATTCGGTACAATGTGAGACGGGAAGTTAGAATTTATGACATCAGTCCGACCATATCAGGCCGTTAGCAAGCATTAGATGTGTACCCTGAAAACCTAAACCAGGTGTCGGACGGTTTTTTTGCATCAGATTTTTGCTGCATATGCAGCTATCTGGCTTAGACACAATATCCTAGAAAAAGAGGAGAAAAAATGACCCAATATACAAGAAGAGTACTCATGCCTTGGATTGCATTTGCAAGTACTACTGCGAAGTTATGGCGAACTTTTCTTCACCCCAAGTCAGACCTAATCCGTGAATATCCATCCAGGGGGACGTCCACAAAACCCCGAGTTATCCAGACATGCCTCCATCAACCATGACCTTTTCTCCGCGCGAATGTGGACTGAGGTATCTCCTTCCCAAGTAAATTAGGTGCCCAGGCCACTCAAACTAAGCCGAAGAATACCCCTAGGAGGCGGACCACGGCACTTTCCATCGTCGGCTTGTTTTTATAGTGTCAGCTGCGTTCTGGAAACCGGAGTCGTGACGCGTACAGCGCTCTTCAATTCTTAAATCTCTTGCCAAAATTCAAAATGTCACGCTCGTCGAGATTGTATCTATCCTCCGTGTCGTCTTGTGAACCCGTCCTGATCCCTCCTACTTCCATCCTAAAGAAATTTCACCCAGATTTGTGTGCCACGCTGTGCTTCCTCAATTAGGTATAAATATCGTTGGGGTGTGTATTTGGTGACCAGGTTAGGTTAGAGAATAGTCGATGAGAAGTGTGGTCTTTGAAACGAGGATGTAATAGATCGTTCTTGTAAATTTGATGAGGTTTAGTTAGAGATCGATCTCGTTGGGTGGGAGAGTTTGATTTCGTAGGGAGTCACGGATCAAAGCCTCTAGGCCAATTTCTTCTGAATTGCGAAATTTGACTCAACTTGGCTTTGGGAAAATATTTCACTCCCAGGTTCGTAGAGTACACCACGCACAAGTGTTCAGTCTTACCATCCTCCCGCGTTGTTGTGATGCGTGATCAGTGAAATTACGTTTGGTTACTGTGTTTAGGTGTATTAAATAGAAATCAGTGTGTGAACACCTCAATCTTGTGGAGAGCTATTCTCAACACCTGTCAGTGGTGTCCCCTACGAACCTCCAGCTCTCACTGTAGATTCAGCAGACCAGAGATTGAGTAACAAAGTCCTCGCTTTAACGAGGATTCCCCATCGCTTTCGCGGTCTGTATCGTCTTCATTTCGCATCACATTCCCCTATCACTATTATCATGAAGCTGAGCACGATAAGATCGGATGGTGTGAGTGGATGCATATTTAAGTATCGTCAGCTCTAGTTATGCAGTCATGTAATATAAAAGGACAGAGAGTTATGTAGGCATCCAAGGTGATCCGTGCATATATATATATATATATATCACTTTACCTGATTTGGCGCCTTGAGGCCCATGCAGGTTTTTAGCGGAAGATATGTACTTTAAGTAGGATGACTCAGTTTGACGATAAGAACACTCACACTCAGATTTCATTTGCAGATGCTACTCTAGGTTAACCCTTACGGCTTATAATCTCTTCCGTGCATACCCAACTCAGGGAAAATCGTGAAAAACGTGTGGCTATCCGAGTGTGCTTTCATCACCTCACAAGTACGATATCACCGCGAGAGAGAGTGGTGTGTGGGTCTGACTGGATTCGAACTAGTTTTCTCTTGCATCGAATGGGGTAGGTGTCCAAGCTACCCAGTATATACTTGGGAGAACGGCCCGGATGTTATACCACTGCACCATCCAACCCTCCTTGCATACATACTCATGAGAAGGGCGGTCTTTCTGGTTAAACCTAGATAGAGAAACTTAATGATTTAGATGTAATACAAGATATAGCCAATAACGTTTAGAGATGGTAGAGTCGGAGTCCTTCTCATTACCAACCCTTGATCATAGAGGAGAAGCTATCTGATGAGCTTCCGGGGCGCACCCAGCACCTAACACCCGATACGGAGATGGTGGATTGATCAAGTTGCCTTCGGAAGTTACAAAGAAGGTAGATGTAAATGAATGTGCGCACCTCATGTAGTCACAGTGTCTAGGCCTCGCCTGGCTGAGGCTGCGGGGGTTTTGAGACATTTTCCCGCTCACGCAGTTTCCACTGCTACCATTTTTTTGGGTAAAAAGTTCCGCGAAAAGATGACTGAATTCCACGGGTGAAAACTGAGCTGAATGGCTATTCATCAGGGGCAATATATCAATGATTTTTTAAGTAACATGAGAGGCAAGGAGCACTGTTCAAGGTGTTGCCTGGGTCAGAGAGGAGCCCAATGTGCTAGATAGTCATAGACTCAAGTAGTACAATAAACACAAAACAAACGCACAATTCGAGAATCCCCAATTTGCCCATTCCCACCCTTTTATCCATCTCACCCATTGATTATCGAATCGAATTGTGATTGTTAACATTTCTATCTTGATGTCGACCCGTACAAACATACCGTATATTAGTAACTCATATTGATACTCGGGATTACGATGGATAGCAGAGATTGAAGGTGTTTATGGCAGTGCGGGGTCTGGTAATTAGTGACAGGGATATGATACGTGTATATATATATATATATCGCGCACTTGACTCATCTTTAAAATGATGATGCTTCCGACTACACTTACAATGCACATACCTGCTCTGGGCTAATCACCCCTTACTATATCGGTCATATCTTCTAATTAATGCCCTTTTCGCCCTTTTATCTTACATGACAGGTCATAATATTCTTCGTCTTGCTGGCCATAATCAAGCTCAGAGTTGTGGACAGATTAAATCTTTAACAGTGATTGTTTGCCATCGGCGGCAATTTAAAATGCCTCCGACGCGTAAAACGCACCAAAACGCGATCAGCGGAATCACCAAAGATCGCGTCAACAAACCCTATAAATTGCATGAATCTATACTAAATATTACAAGACAAAAACTTACGGAGAAAAGAAAAGAGGCCTCCGAGAAAGATTTAGACACCATCGAGGCAACGCTCGAAGCTAACGTTCGCAATATACCCGAGGTAGAGATGTTAGACCTCGAAGTACAGAAGTTGAAATCTCTATCAGATTCAAGATAGGCTTTCTCCAGCCCAGAAGACAAGGAACAAGTCTTGGATCCCACCAAACCACCCAGAATAACCGTAATCGCACCCGAAAAGCGCGCTACGGTTACAGTACTACCACGACTTGCTGAAGTGAG